ATTTGAACTGCAAACTTTTGAACTAACTTGATGGCGAATGATCTGTGGCCATGCCAACGGCATTTGATGACATCCCATAATACGCTTAGATGCGTTGATGGCTGCATCGTTACCAAACCTGTGAAGTTTTGGGCCGTTTGGAGCATTTTCACTGAAGTTATGAGAACCGTGTTTCATGGCGTGCCTTGTGTTACCATGGCAACGGCATTTGAAGAAATCTCAAAACTCTCACGTAGATGTCGTCACAGCTGGACTATTAGCACACGTGAAGTTTGAGCACTTTTTGAAAATGTTCATAGGAGTTATAGCGACATCGTATTTTATGGCGAGGGATGCGTTTCCATGGAAACGACATATGGTGAGATCTCAGATTTGGCGTAGAGCTGTTGAGGCATGGACCGGCATTTTCACTGAAGTTATGAGAAAACCGTGTTTCATGGCGGGCAATGTGTTGCTATGGCAACGGCATGTCCCGTAGATGTCTTCACGGCTGGACTGTTAGCACACATGTGAATTTTGAGCACTTTTTGAACATTTTCATAGGAGTTATAGCGACATCGTGTTTTATGGCATATGGTGAGATCTCAGATTTGGCGTAGAGCTGTTGAGGCATGGACCGGTGATATACAAGTGAAGATTGGGGGACGATTGGACCGTGCCCATTAGACTTACAGCGACATCGTGTTTCATGGCGAGTGGTCTGTCGCCATGGCAACGGCATTTGATGACACCCCATAATACGCTTAGATGCGTTGATGGCTGCATCGTTACCAAACCTGTGAAGTTTTGGGCCGTTTGGAGCATTTTCACTGAAGTTATGAGAACCATGTTTCATGGCGAGCATTGTGTTGCCATGGCAATAAGGTGTCCAGAGATCAAAGGTTTCCATTGTTCTGAATGAGAGATAAACCTCTTACATGTGAACGTTTTGTTGAAGAATTGTAACAGATATCGGTGAAATCTCAAAGCGTGAAGCATCTCAAGGACCTTGAGTATCTGAAGTGTGCTTTTTGTGTACTTTCGGGTCAATAATGTGGCCTTTTTGGCAGATTAACTAAAGGTGTGCTGCTGTGAGGAAATATCAGCCTGAAATTACAATGGGCTTCAATGGAGACATGTTGAAAGTTTTTGTCACTTCATGCCCTCAAGAGGCATTTTGTTTAATTATTTTTTGCTTAATTATTTGTCATTTTTCAAGCTACGAGATGTTTTCCTACGTTTGTCATGAAAGATTATGTCTCAGGAATGTAGGGTTTTGGGAATTATGGCAGTTTAAAAAAAATATATCAAGGCAAATTTCAAGATTTCCGAGCTGTGACATCACGCACTCTAGTTAATGTTAAAATCTGAAGAAGGCCTCTGTACCAAGGTCTGAACAATGTTTAATATCTCTAAAAGTAAGAATCAGATTTAAAAGTTGTGTTACACGAATAATGTCAGAAAGATGTGTAACATTTTAAAGTTGGAATGAGGTTTCTGAGTGAAAGTATGAATGAACAGTTAGCAGTTGAAGTCGCATGAAGATTTGTTGAATTGTTGTCGATTCCCGACCGAGCTGAACGTTTTGATGTTTAAACAGAGTTTCTGCGATGTTCAATGCAGGAACATCGCAGAAACTCGTGGGAATGCTGTTAACAGCATTCCCACTAAATTAAGCCACAAGGTGTGTTCTCACTGATTTGTAGCAATACAACTGAAACTGATATTAAATGTGCTGAAACACAGTTCATTATCACGTTCTGCCATCAAGTTGGTATACATGTAAACAAATCCTACTGTAGAAAGTCGTAGATCTATAGTAAGCCCATGTCTCCATGTGTACCTACATACCTATAGGTCTGCTAAACTAGAAAATAATGAAATGAGCAAGAGTGGAGTTCTGCATTTTCACATCTTCAACTTTTCCTCAGTTGACCACAAAGCAGTTGGGATTTGAGTGCCTCGCTTGAGATCCTTCAGAAACTATAACAACCACATACTCCACATAAAATATGTAACTGTAATGTTTGTTTAGATAACACTAGAGTAGACAGATGTTCAGCGGGGAAAATCCAACATTTGATGCTTCTCTTTTTTTTTTGAAAAGCCCTTTTTAGAACCACCTAAAGTCAATACAGTTTGATGACACTTTATTTCCTTAAAGTTCCCAAAGATAATTAAAAAAAACCTGCAATCCGCTTACATGTATGGCATCTATATTTACTGTAGGAATAGACTGCTCGATCTGCAGAAACCCAAACATTACAAAATCGTATAATGCTGCAGACTTCTAAGAACCAGTGCACAGGATCTGGTGTCACCATGCGTCGATCTTTTAGACTTTAGAGTGATCGCTCGGAAAACACAGCTTTAAATATGATGCTCTGTAAATATACTTTATGACATCAGTAGCCTCCTCTCCAGCACACGGTCACCCTGGCAGAGGTCCGGTTCAGAGCTATTCTGGGTGCTGCCGGGGCTCCCTGCTGATCTGCAGCCAGTCCACACAGCAAATTACACATCTGGAAACCTTTTGGAACCTTTTTTATGTAATATTCTTTTTTTATCTGGTTACCATCATGCTTTACCACTTGGTTGTCGTGGAAACCCAAAGAGTGTGATTACAAAATATGTAATTATTTTTTCTGCAGCAGCCCGTTATACATAGCTTGACTAAAAGATGGATTTTTGGTGTTCATAAAACCTTTGCTAATATATTATGTTTTTTTAGTTGTGCTCCTCAGATAGTTACAGCTTTTTGTCTTTGGACACAGTGTTGTTGTCAAAGTATAAACATCACAGCAAATGTAGTTTCAAAACTCAGTTTGAGTCCCTCGTGAGCTGAGGTCTTTTCTAGGGCCAGATCCTGCTGGCTGCAGCACAGAGCCCGGGTGTAGATGCTCTGCTGATCGCCACGTGCACGGCCAGCTGACCTTGGCTTTCTATCGATCGGGATCGGATTTCAAACAAGCTGCATGAGATCTGTATTGGTTTTAGCTGCATGCTGAGACAGATATTGACGCTCTGAATATTGTGGTAGTGTGCTATTTCTGTTTGGAGCTATAGACAAGTACATGCAATATCCCCAAATCTATATGCAAACAGTGGATAAAGTTAAATAGGTAACAGATGATAACCTGTCAGTATGGTCTTCCTTGGTTTGCATTTACATTAACACTGGTTTCATCCTGGATCATCTCTATAAGGCATATCATGGTTACAGTGAATCATTTGTGTGGAGGAAATATTTGCTTAGCTACTAACCTTTGACCCAGTTCATCATTCTTTACTTTTTCTGTCTCCCTGGCCCAGGCATGCGGCCTTGGGGTATTCCTGTTATCTCTCTGAGAGACGCAGCTCTGTCTCTTTGTTATTGCAGGCGAAGACTCAAGCACATAGTTTATTGGCTAGGGACATCTGGTAGTCCACCTTATAAGGTACCTATGTCCCTTTGGCATACATTCTTTACTCAGGGACAAGAGTTATAGTCCTTTGGCCTGTTTTATCTTGTCGTTCTTAATGTTGATTTTGCCCATAGAACTAGTTAAAGTCTCCGGCTGGAAGAAACTTCAGAATCGGTTAGGCAGGAGCTGTGTCTCTTTGTGGCTGTAGCAAATGTCTTCGTCAATCTGCATCAAATCAAGTGAATCTTCAGTGTTTGCCATTTCAGTTCTCCTGTGTTCTCATTGTGTTTCGAGACCTTGCTCCAGAAGACTCATTTGAAGTTGACCATGAGTATATTGACACCTTCAGACTGTCATTAACTCCTGATATAGATGTCCGTCATCCTTTAAATCTGGAGTGAGCAATGTTTAGAAACCTGCTCAAATAAAAAGTAAAGTTTTCATGTGTGCCCTAAGCAGCAAATGAACAATACATCTTTTTGTATCAATCTTTATAACATATATCTTAATCCAACACTGATTTAACCAAATTAGTAAAACACATTCTGCCAGTTTTCTTTAACTTATCCCTGTATCTGTATACAGAGGGATCTGCTACCTTCTCAGGCATGTTCCAAAAAAGTAAATTGATTACATAGATTATTTACAAAGTGAAGAGAGTTTAAAATATTCAGATGCTTTAAAGAAATCAGTTTTATGTGATGTAGTTTAAGCTTGCAGAGCCAGAAGGGTCACAAATGTGGACCCTGTTATCAAGACTCGATGGATGCCCATTTCAAAAGCACTGTATTCTTCCTTTGACTGTGTGAAAATGAATGTTTGGACACGGAGCTATTTATAGAGAGCATGTGGGTAGGGAGATGCTGCCATGTGTGTGTCGGTTGGATAGAAGCATAACATCGGTGCGCCTGGGTAGCTTGCGTGCATTTGCCTCCATAATAACAACCACTGAGGATTAAAGCAGCAGACAGTGACTGAGATATATTTTCTTTTGGTGTGCCATCATCTAAACCTCCAGCTAAATGTGCACGTGAGGTCAATCCTAGTGCGTTTTAAAGCTGGTTTACTCACACAGCTCTCGTCGGGGAGAGATGAAAAGAGTTTGAGTTTATTCAAGTGTTATTCAGAGGTTGATTTGTTTTCCTCCTTTCTGACTCATCCGACAGACTCTGAGCTGGGTAGATTTGTGATGAGGGTGCCACCAAGAGGCAACACAAGGAATTGCAATTAAATAAAACAAATGAAGCATTGTAAAGCTTCACACTCAACCAGTTCAACACATTTCATTTGTGGACCTTTCCACTAAATACTCCACGTCCTGACCACAGTCTCCTGGTGCAGCTGGGTCTTTGATGCCACGTATTCCGATCAAGGCTACATTAACAGTCTATTAACTACCTGTCTCTTTACTCTCTAATACAGCTTCAGTTCTGTTGGCATGGCTTCAACTAACAGTTTGAGGAGATATCAAATCCTGTCTCTAACGCATGACCTGTGATCGTCACTCACACTTCTAACTAACTCTGATCCACTTTCAGATTTGGTGATAGCAGTTGTCCAGTAAGCTGTTAATGTCTGTGACTTCAGTAAGTGACGGTGGGATTTCTCTCTCTGTAGACGTGAACGACTGCGCCGCCCAGCCATGCAAGAACGGAGGCACCTGCAGGGACCTGGAGGGAGACTTCAAATGCCACTGCCCGTCCCCTTATGTGGGCAAACAATGCCAACTGCGTAAGTGTCACCGGTCAAAACTTCATGTGGCCAATTATTCTCATCTGAATCACTGTCGTCTCTTTTTTTCTGAACATATTGACAAAGAACTTACTTTAAATAGGTATAGATTGTGTCCTTAAAGAACAACAGTATAAGTAAAATACATGTATTACAATAAGAGAACCTAAACAAAGAAAGAGATGTTGGCATTGATATTAAAAAAGTTATAATGCTCCTTATTTTAACATATGAAATGTTCACGAGTGTTGTTGAATTAGTTGAATGAAGACGTTATTAATGATAGGATTGGGAAAGTGGCTAACTGCTGCACTTTAGTATGATCAATAGGCAGGATATAGAAAGTAAGCTAAATGAGAAATCCATACTTTATTCCATTCAGTTGACCTAAAGATCTGCAGCCTTAATGACTTTAAGGTTTGCACAGATGAGTGAAGTATAATCTCTGTATGAGATATGGCTGAGTGTGTATTAGACTTTGATTATGCAACCATATGCTCATACATTTCTCTTTCTTATAGGAATCAGTTATTTGTATTCTGCAGAATGTAAAACAGTTATTATTAATAATAACTGTATTCATTTAGCACTTAAAATCTGATTTGAGGCAACATACTGAGAAGACAATAACAGCATAAAGCCAACAGTAAGGCCAAACAAAAAACATGACAACATTAATGATGCATGGACATATACATGAAGTGTGTGCTACTTCAGCCTTTGTCAGGTGACTGAATTTGCATTAGGGTCAGAGTGTGAAATGTTGCACTCACGTCAGAGTCATCCCCCCCTCGCTTTTCCTCTACACTACAGGCTGCATCTCTCTGCTGGGCATGGAGGGGGGGGGCATCGCTGAGTCCCAGATCTCCGCCTCCTCAGTGCGGTACAGCATGCTGGGTCTGCAGCGCTGGGGGTCCGAGCTTGCCCGCCTGCACAACAAGGGGATCGTGAACGCCTGGAGCGCCGCCGCACACGACAAGAACCCGTGGATTCAGGTGAGACCAGGACACATGGTCATATATAGTTCATACAGGGACTTTCTTTGATGTATTCAAGTCCATACACACTTGTTTCTTGTAGATCTAACAGTTGAGGTATACCTTTCCTGACATTTGATTATTTACATTTGTTCTTACTCTAATGCTGTTTTATTTCTATTTCTATTTTGAGATGTTTCTATTTTTAGAATTGTTTATTTCTACTCTTTTAATTTGTTATTATGAGCAATGTTTTGTTTTATGCTGCTGCAACAAATTGAGATTAATAAAGTACATCTTATCGTATAATAATTGAAACTCTTATATTGTGAGCAAAATAAAACTTGATTTATTAACTCATTATTACACACATGAAGATACTCTTTGCTTCGGACCTGTGTGTTTATGTTTTTAAAAGTATTTGCCCTCCCCATGTTGCTTGCCTTAATTTGATCTCACTTCATCTCGCCTGTAAAAAACACAACTCAACTCTTAACTATAAAACTCCATTTTCAGATCAACCTGCAAAGTAAGATGCGCTTCACTGGTATCGTGATGCAGGGCGCAAGTCGCATCGGAACTTCTGAGTTTGTCAAGTCCTTCAAGGTGGCCTCCAGTCTGGATGGCAAGACGTACACCATGTACAGGACCGACGGACAGAGGAAGGACAATGTGAGGGGACACAACAAAGTGCACCATATTAGACTGATTTATATGTACTGCGAGTGAGTCAATGTACATAGCATCTCTATATACCAGGGGTCTCCAACACGTCGATCACGAGCCCTCAATAAGTATCTCACCAAGCAGATCCAAAATACACAAAAAAATAGGAAATGTTAAAAGAATCTAATGTGACAAAAATGTGACACGCTGCAAGCAGGAAACCACACCAGTAAGACAGCTCGCACTGTCAGCTCCTCGCAGCAGCGAGCTGACCAATCAGAGCACACTGGGCTCACAGGGAGGGGGGGGCAGGAGCTCCAACAAGCCGTTTAGGACAGAGAGTGAATACACATACTATACAGAGATGCTGGATGAGAAACCTGTAGAGGAAACTTCTGTGTAGCAATGCTGTAGGAGTCACCGACTCAGGAAGGAGACACGGTAGGAGCAGTAGCTTTGATGTCAAACACTGATGGTTTATTTGGAGTTAACGGCCGGAGGATTCACATCACAAGTCCAAGAGCCAGAGGTTCTGACTTCACGGTAGAGTTGCCACGTCAATTCTGGAGAGCCTCTCTCTTGCCAGCTCATTTAACTGGTTCCACAGAGAGTCATCAACATGTTTTGATAAGATGGCTTTAGATAGTTTGGGCACACTAAGTTACCAGCTTCTGCCACTTATGGCCTTGCATATGTCATGCCCTGGAGTCCTCAGACAACAGAGAAGGAAGTGTCCCAGTGTACCCACAATACAGACCATCTGTGACCCAGTATTGACCGGTCACAGAATGGGAACAATAACATTATTGGCTGAAGCAGCCTGTGTCCTTAAAGGAGGTAAACAGACGTCAGGGTTGGTCCTGTACGTCATATCTAGGAGTCTAGGACAATTATTTCCCTAACAAAACCAATATGAGTTTGGAAAATTGCACAATATAAATCTGTTAGTATACCTCAACAATGGAAATATGATCAGTGGAGATGGCCATGTCATGGGACCTTTAAAGGGGGAGTGATTAGTAAAATAAAAAGAAAGAATGCTAACTAGGTAACATAAGATAAGAATAAACAAGTTTAAATGATTTGTTATTGGTTGTGATCATATTCTAAAGATGTTTGGATTATTGAAAAGTAAACAGCTCCCTTTCATCTGAGTGTTGAGAGCTGTATCCATACATTCATGTTGCTCTCAAAGTGCACCAGATTGATGCTTTTAACTTCAACATTTAAAAAAAGAAGCATGCCCCCCGACCCCCCGAGAAGATGTGAGGTCAACCCCCAAATAAAGCAGGTTAAAATAATTAAATTGCATACATTTTCTTTTAGTAAACACTGCAAACGGGTCCCACAGACCCAAACAGCACACAAAGGTTAAAGGTCAGCATATAATAATGTTAAAATGTGCTAAATACATACACTGCGGAGTAAAAGTAGCTCACGACTTGTTTTATTATTGAAAGTAGCTCTCATCCTATAAAAGGTTGGAGACCCCTGATGTATACAGTAATACAAATATACCACTAGAGGGAGCAGTGACCAGACAGGACACACAACCCTTTGAACTCTAGTGCACGTTATACACAAAAGAGTTTGCTCGCTAAATTAATTCAACAAAGATGAATGAATCAGGGAGTGCTGTCCATCATTGTTTTGGTTTAGTTGCTCTTTCTTTAGAATACATACATCTACTAAGAACTGTCACCAAATATCCATTTTCAGTATCACTCCCCAGTCATCATCATGAGAGATTAACAGCCCATTTCAGGCAGTATACTAACTCCTCCTTTCTATGTAGATATTTGTGGGAAACGTGGACAACGACGGCACCAAGACCAACCTGTTCGACCCCCCCATCATCGCCCAGTTCATCCGCATCATCCCTGTGGTCTGTCGCAAGGCCTGCACCATGCGCATGGAGCTGGTGGGCTGTGAGCTCAACGGTAAACTCACACAGAAAACACAACGTCGTACACACTGTTCAGTCTAATGATGTTGGTTAGAGACGAGTCATTCAGACTCCATGTGGATAAATGTGCTATCCAACAGCTTTTAAGCAGTAATTAGCTCATATGTTTCCGCACTAATTATGTTCAGCCCTGCGCTCAGTGATTGATCTTGAATTCAAAGGATATGTCTCAGAGGATTGCACTTCTTAGTAACTAAAGCAAGCGTGGACATTTATCACAACCATATGATCACACTGTATCAGAGTAACAAGCGTGCTGCAGATGGCTGCCAATGATTCAGAGATCTTTTTACTGGTCATATTCATATAATACTTGTCAACCCAGAGGCAAACGCATGTAAGTGTCCTCTGTTCATCTTGCTGTTCCTCTTGTGTAAAGCCAGTGTGTGTGTGTATCTCTTAATGGTTGTTTCCTCCATCAGATCAGTGTCTGTTCTTCTCTCGTCACCCGTTTCCAGTTTGTGCATGATTCCAAAACTGCTTTCTTTGAGGCATGTTGGGTCACCAACATGGGTCTGATTTGAGATCACAACCAGATTGCATGACTTTGCATGTTTTCACTGCGTTTGCTTTAATGTGAAACAGTCATTGGGACAAGACAGTCTGTTCCTGAAAGGTTATCTGGGTCCGTGCTTCAAACCGTCGTGTCACAACTAAAGAGACACTGTTTTCAAAATGAGAGGATGTGACCTGTAACAACGCAGCTGAAGTTTTTTTATTGGATTTTAAGCACAAACATCCAACATCATATACAGACTCAGAGAAAAAACTAACAGTACCAGAGGAATAATAAATAAATCAAAACAGGCAGGGACAAGTATCCATACATCAAAGTAAAACATCCAGTCATAGCAGCGCACATTAGTGCATGATATTGTGAGTGTCCCACATCCACTTATTAGTGTCTTCACACGGTTCCACCTTCCCCAGACAAGTATCTACTGAAACTATCCCATTGTTCATTAGCCATGCCACTTTGAACATTCAACCTTCCCAGCATCTTTTCACATGCAGCCGTCTCCATCATTTGAACCCTCCACCCTGCACTCAGTGTAGGAGTTTGGGGAACAGCTGAAGTTTTGAACCCTGTGCATGCTACATTGACTCTCTGTGTGTCTGACCTGCATGCGCATCTGCTTCACTAACCCACACTTAATAACAAGTCTCTTCCAGCCTTTCTAGATTGTAAAATGAGCTCCACAAGTTTGTTTCTACTTTAGGTTTGGCATCTTAAAATAAATAATAACTTTGTTTATATATCACCTTTTTTTAAACACAGCTACAATGCTACATGAACTATTACTCAAAAACTAAACACAGAGTAAAGTCAAATAAAATGTCTTGCAACAATAATTAAATTACAAAAAAAGCTATTATTTCAAAATCATTTAAAAAGAAAATCCCTGACCTCCTCAAGCAGGTCATTCCAGAAGAGCCTGGCTTCTAAGGCGCCATCACCTTTGAGTTTTGGAAATAGTGACGCCCATGAGAAAAGTCTCAAGGTGCAGGAAAATACAATAAGAGGTCCAATAGTAATCTCTCAGGGCTAATTCAGCTCATACTGATCATGTGAAATGATACGTTAAGTATGAAAATACAGCAAATTTGATGATGGTTCATGTTAGGGCTGTACCCGAACATCCGAATATTCGTTCGTTGGAGTACTATTTCGTTATTCGTTTTTTTCGTTTTCTTTTCAAATTGAATTTATTGAAATCTCCAATATCAACGTAAGAGCTTGTGCCTCTTCGGGGGGTGCTAACACTTAACCATAAACGTTATTGTTTACTTTCTCCGTCTTTATATGTAGATATGACTTTTTCTCCGTTAATCTCCGTCACGTTGTTTCCATAGCAACAACAACTTCCTGTCAACAGCGCTAACTCTCCTTCAAAAATAAAAGCATGTCCATACAAAATAGGAAGCCAAGCCAAATTCCACTTAAGACATACAACTGCAACGAAAGTATCAAACACAATGCGATATCCTTTTAATTTCAAAGAACACAAATCGGGTAACATTAACAAATAACTACAAAACAACAATACTGTAGAATAACAAAATGAATGCCGTGAATAAACCGAATTACACGGGTTGAAGCGGTTCACTGCTGATTCGGGACAGCCCTAGTTCATGTGAGCTCAGGTAAGCCTAAAGCAGGTCCACCCGTCTCTCTCCTCTGCATCATCCTCTCTGTTTGCTGCTTCACATCACTGGCTGGCCTGGGCTGCTTCCTGGCCGTCCCTTGTCTATCATACTCTCTTTTCTCTTTCCATTCCTCCCTTTGTCTCTGTCTCCTCTCTGCCTGGTCTCACCTCCACAGTCTATTCAAACTCTTTAGGTTGCTCAGAGCCCATGGGCATGAAGTCCCGGCTGGTGACCAACCGCCAGATCACGTCGTCCAGCACCTTCCGCACCTGGGGCATGGAGGCGTTCACCTGGTACCCCCACTACGCCCGTCTGGACAAACAGGGCAAGACTAACGCCTGGACCGCCGCCACCAACAACCAATCAGAGTGGCTCCAGGTAAGAGATGAGGACACAGCCAGCTACACATTGTTAATAATAATAATAATAATATATTAATTTTATATAGCGCTTTTCTGGACCCAAAGACGCTTTACATTTGGGAGGGGGGGTATACAAACAAAACAAAACAAAACAAAAAACACAACAGAAAAGCAGTCAGGAGGAGGATTGTTGTTGTTTATTTGCTGTGTTTGTAAGGACAAGCTGTGTCTGTGTCCTCAGGTTGATCTCGGGTCTACCAAGAAGGTCACGGGGGTCATCACTCAGGGGGCCAAAGACTTCGGCTCCATCCAGTTTGTCACAGCCTTCAAAGTGGCTTACAGTAATAACGGGCGGTCCTGGACCATTGTGAAGGACGAGACTACAAAGACAGACAGGGTGAGTCCAGCTGTTCTCAGAAAACATTCTAATACATGGCTAAATGGATCACTATGGGAAAAACATAAGAGTTTCATTAAGTCTGTCAATTTTTAAGTCTGTCAATTTTTAAGTCTGTCAATTTAAAAAAAGAGAGAATAGCGCCTGAAAAACCCATTGACTTACAAACATAGGGGAAATGCATGTTTGCAGTGCGTACAAAATAAGCAAATAGCATTATTTAATATATTAATATAAACCATAAAATATACAATAATAATCATTAATTTAGAACAAAAATCACTGATAATTCTTAGTAGATTCTTGGGAAAGAAATATAAAACACCATTTTTTTTAAAGGGCTTTGTTTGTAGTTGAGTTGAACTTGTTTTGGATCCTTTTTTTTACACACTGGTACCAATTATTCCTGACTCTGTATGCAATCATTCATAATGCTATGAACCGGCCAAAGTACAGCAACAGGAAGTCCTTAAACTAAGGATCTGGAACATTGACAGGCGAGGACTTATCCAATGGAACATTTATAATTAAAGTTTATGATTTTAATCAATTTTTGTATTGGATAATGTTTGCCTTGTTTATGAGCCTGTGCTAACTGTAAGGCCTGCCCTTTATTCTTATTTCATTGTGTGTTATCGAGAGGCGTTTTTCATATATATACATATGTGTAATGTTATATTCTATTTCTTATTGCCTTGGAAATATTTTCTGAAGATATATCGTTTTTTGTCATAAATATGAAAACAGTTTGTTTAAAAGCTTTTATTTTTTAGTATTCTTTAATTAAAAAAACAAAACTGGTTTAAAATAGTCTGACCTACATTATGGGTTACAGAATATTGGGGAAACTAAACAACGGTCTTCAGGGGGTCCGCGGGGTCTTAAAAAGTATTAGAAGTTGATAAATCAATTTAGTGAAAATGAAGGCTATTAAAAAGTATTAAACGGCATTTTCCAAGGTATTACATTCTGTAGCTTGTTTTCAATAAGTATGTGAATGGTCCAAAGAGGTTGTATTCTACAGTCTGCCTGAATGTAATCATTGCGTAGGTGTGTAGTGTGATTCTGTGTAGTTTATTGATGGCATCCCGTTGAGTTTGACGTCATCTGAACAGGACATCGCACGCTCACTGCTTGATAGCGCGAAGGTGCGTTTACGCCGGTTGTTAAACAACATCGTTATGGGGAAATGCAAGTTTGCGTGCAAATGGTTGGAAGATAAGGAGGAAGGACAATCAATACTGCATATAGTCAATGTGAGGTAAAGTGTGTCGCCAAGGTAACCGGTTAAAACTCCAAGTGGAGATGAGGTCTTAAAATGTACGGAAAGGGTCTTAAAAAAGGTCTTAAAAGGTTTTACATCTGACTTCAGGATCCCTGCATATACCCTGAGTCTCTAACTCCAGTTATTTCTAGAACTTTTTAGTTGTAACAGAAACAAGCAGCATCAAAACGTTTTGTTATCAGATTAGTTAAGTCTACCAGCAGCTTTGATTTGTGTCATTTTCATTGGTTGCTTTCCTCTGTCCAGATCTTCCCAGGCAACAGCGACAACAACATTCACAAAAGAACATCTTCGAGCCCTCGTTCTACGCCCGATACGTCCGCATCCTGCCGTGGGACTGGCACGAGCGCATCACCCTGCGGATGGAGCTCCTGGGCTGTGAAGAGTAGCCCCGCACCCCCCTCTTCCTCTCTCTAAAACCATACGTTACCTCGCTCTACCAGGAGAAGAGAACACCTCCTCCCCCCTTTCCTCGTCCTCTCTCTAAACCTCCTCCCCCCTTGCCCTCTTCCTCTCTCTACACCTCCTCCCCCCCCTTCCCAGCTTCCTCCCCCCCTCTTCCCTCTCTCTAATAACCTCCTCCCCCCCCTTCTTCCTCTCTCTAAACCTCCTCCCCCCTTCCCTCGTCCTCCCCCCTCTTCCCTCTCGCTACCTACCTCCGCCCCCCCCGTTCTTCCTTCTCTCTAACCATCCTCCCCCCCCCCTCCTTCCTCTCTCTACCCTCCTCCCCCCCTTCCCTCATTTCCTCTCTCTAACATGTGATCCCCCCCTCTTCCTTCTCGAACTCCCTCCGACCCCCCCTATCGCCTCTTCTCCTCCCCCCGCTCTTCCTCTCTCTACCACTTCCTCTCTCTCCTCTCTACCTCCCCTCCCCGGCCTTTCCCTCTTCCCTCTTCCAATCTTCCGTCTCTCTACCTCCCCCCCTCTTATCCGGACTCTCCTAAAGCCTCCCCCTCCCTTCCCTCTTGTCACTCTGCCTCTACCGTCCGCCCTCCCCCCCCTCTTCATCTCGATAGGCTACTCATCCTCCCACCCCTGCTTCCTCTCTCCTCTACCGTCCTGCCCCCCCCCCTCTTATCCTCGCGCGACCACGACCGCTCCTCCCTTCCTCTTTCCTCTCTCTACCTACTCATCTACCGCGTCCTCCTCCCCCACCCCTCCTTCCTCTCTCTACCCTCCTCCCCCCCCCCTTCTTCCTCTCTTCTAACCTACCTCCCCTCCTCCCCCCCCCCAAAGCCTCCCCTCTCTCTTACCAAACCTTACCGTCTCTCTACCGCCTCCCCCCCCCCTCTTCACTCTCGCTAACCTCCTCCCCTCCCTCTTTCCTCTCTCTAAACCTCCTCCCCCCCACCTCTTCCTCTCTCTTAACGATCCGCCCCCCCTTCTTCCATCTCTCTACCCATCCTGCCCCACCCTCGTGCCTCGCCGATCTCTAAACCATCCCCCCCCCTCTGCCGCTCTTCTAACCTGCCCCCCCTCTTCCACTCGCTACCTCCTCCCCCACCTTACCTCTTCCTCTCTCTAACCTCCCGTCCCATCTTCTCCTCCTCCTCCGCCTCCCCCCCTCATCCTGCCCCCTCTTCGAGCTCCTCCCCCCCTCTGTTCCCGTCCTCTCCCCTCTTCCTGCCCCTCTTCCCCCTCTTCCTCCTCCTCCTCCCCCCTTCCTTCTCCCTCCTGAGCCACACCTGCACTGCCTTGCTCTCAGCCCTAGGGGGCAGCAGACACCAGAGTAGCACAGCATCACCTGACCCTGGCTGGTTTGGAGGTGGGAGGTGTTACCCCTAACCACTGTTACCAGGGCGATGACAGTTTACAGCCTCCCCTCTTTGTTTCCTGAAGTGATCACTCTTCTTTCCACCTGAACCAAATCTGTGATCATTCCAAGAATCAAACGTTTCTCTTGTTTGTCACTGAGCAGAGCTGAGGTCAGATTAAACAAACATGGCCCCTCCCTCGTCCCTGGGTCAGAGGTCAGGGGTAACGGGACTGCTGCTGTATCCGCTGGTGCTGCCTACACTCTGATCCTAGATCAGCTCTACCTGGAACATTAAAACCTCTGAGACCCACGGCTGGTGATGTACATACGCTCCACCCGACAGCTTTCTCCAGTCCTATAACCCAACCCTTCACACAATATCAATTATCTTCATTGGAAACGCTTGTGGCTAATCAAACAATATGATCATAACTTGACAAGAAACCTTTAATATCTGGTAAGAATTGTGTTGCTTTAGGTTGGAAAAACTCACGAGCAAATCTGCTTTCTTTTTGGTACTGTTGAGCAATAATAAGTGACTCAACGTGTTTCACTATTTCTACTATTTCATTGCAGAAGTTTAGAAAGTGAAATCAAAACTTAAGATTTACTCTAAAGCCAACAACAGAAAGTCCCACTATTTACTCAAATCATGTACATAAGCATATTACAACCTGACGGCATCAGGGCGAATCAGGGCGAAGTCATCCCTTTATCCTTTTGCCAACTGAACCTCAGATTGTTTTTATTTGTGTAGAAAATAATAGTTTATGGTGAGCTGACGCAGACACATCCAGAACAAAAGACTTGAACCATCACAGGCAGTTAAACAGATTTAAAGCCAGAGGAGACGCCCTCTCTGACCGACAGGATGTTATAAACAAAACAGTTTGAGATCATCATTAAACTGAAACACTTTATTGCTCTTGGGGAATGAACAATAGCCGTTGAGGGACATTTAACACGTGCTGCTGTCATCGACATCTTACAAAGGATCTTTAGAAGTCTTATTCATTCAGATAATTGTTTTTATTACACTGTCTCCATTTGTGATCGGCTGAGACGGCACATGTGTATCAGAAAAAAGCCACGTTTCTGGTCAGGTCACAGTTAACAAGGCTCCTCTCTAAGGCTGTTGGGATTCTTTGGATCAGATCTGCACTTAAAGTATTAAATCAAAAATAACTTCAGGGTCGTGTTTGTTTCTAATTGGTTGGCATCAAACAGGAAGAGATTGACGCTAGCTGCAGATTTAAAAATAATGGTGGGTGTTATCGTCTCAGGTCAAAACAGATCTGCTCCTATTGTACAGTTAATGCTACTGAAACCTATCAATACACACACACACTCTCTCACACACACACACACGCGCGCACACACACACTCACACACACACTCACACACACTGCTTTGCTTCTTGTTGTGTTCACCGTTTTTTTATGGCACTTTGATGTTTGTGTTTTGACATTTGTAATATTCAAAAAAAAAGTTATTGTTGAAGAACAAGCAGTAAACGTGAATTATTACAAACATAAGAAGAAAAAATATACTTGCAGTTCAGTTTTTGTTGTTTTACATTAAATTGCACTTTGGTTGTGTTTTGTAAATACGTGAGCTGCATTTAAACAGTTATTTTGTACTACAATCTGTCCATGTTAGTAGATGTTATTGTTCGAAGCAGACCAGTTCTCCAGGGGCCGACATTTAGCCTCCAGTAGAAAGCTGAGGCCCCGCTGATAACACGAGAGGAACCAAATTAAAACTGATTTTGTACGGTTCCGTCGGACATGTGACACGAACCTTCATATCATCTGCTTCTGCCGCCCCCCGCCGCCACAGTATTCTAAACCTTTCCACCCCATGAATTATGAATAATGGGCTTGTGCAATATTATACTGTGTTAGTTTTGATAACAATGAATATTAATTCAAGCCCCTTTAAAAAATGCATGAGGGGATAGCGGTGCCACTGAGAGGGCGAGGAAGGATGCTGGTGTCAAACACTGTTCAATATTTATTATTGTTGCAGACGCTTCCACGTTCCCCACGTCTGCATGCATTTTATTGACTTACAACCGATTTCTGAATTTATTGGTGACATAGCTTCATTTTCTTCCCGGTGTTCATCAACATTCAAAGTATTGTAGATATATTGTTTCCCAGGTGTTCAGGTTTTCTATTATTGATCAAAAAATATTCATGTTTTTATGGTATTGTATGAGTTCATTTCAAGATTCCTTTATGTTTGGCCTTTGTATGTTAAAATGAAGAATAAATAAAGAATTTAAAACATATAGCCTGTGTGTTTTTACTGCATGGCATATATCACTCACACTGCTGAATTAATTGGAGCTGTTTTCCATTTAAAAAGGTGGAAGATCAAAAGAGGGAAAGCACTGAGGGTCCTTTTCCCTGTTTAGCATTTTAAACGCCCCAGGGGCCTAATCTCTCTTTGTACCAGGTATCTCCACGGCTCCTCCTCAGCCTCATTACAGTCTGAAGGTCACACTAAAGTGGGGGAAATCCTCAGCAGGGGTTTCAATCATGAGAGAAAAGATTCATGCTGTGAAGGTTAAACGATGTTGGAGCCTCACTGGATCGATGTTGTGCTGCAGCGTTTCAGCACAGCAGTAACGCTTTACATAAAATGTTGCCGTGCCACCAGATGTGTGACTTTTGGTTTCCCATTAGTAAACCCCAGACAACTGTTGTCTTACACGATGATCTCATCTCGAACCCCTCCCAAACACACCAGCTGTTTTCCCCTCACGAGTTGCTTGTGTTTAAAGTGTTGAGGACCTAATGACAGCTTTATCCTCCGGGTCCCCTTTGTTATTTAATAAAACTCTCCCATTCCCCGTCCTTTCTCCCCTCCTTGTCCTTTTCTAGAAGGGCAGTTCTTACTAGTCCAGTATTTAAAGGACACATTATTTTCTTTCTTTATACTGATGCTTTTAAATGACTTGTTAATGGTTGGATTCACATTGTGTGGCTGTACTTCACCAATAAGGAACTAATTGCCTTAAAAATGCAGTGTGCTTCCTGTATGTAGTCACATTTTGTTCTATAGTTAGTAGGAATTCATTTGAATTTTGAAGCCACTTTTTTATAATAACTTGCAGGATTTTATTTTCACATCGTATGTTGGGAATAGGCTTATTTATTTGAGCACATTTTGAAGAAAAAACATAAAACCAACAATAGGTCTAACTTACTTTGTATGGAAGGGGATTAACGCCATATGTGACTTTTATTTTGGTTTGACCAACGTTTTCTCGAGTCAGAATTCTAACTATATTCTCTGAATACTACGATTTTGTTGTTTTGAGTTCATTCTCAGAATTCAGTTTTTTCCCCGCAGAATTCTGAGAATAAACATTTCAAGTTAATTTGTCATTTAAAAAATCCTTTTACCAAAAACATTCAGATGAAAGCAAGAGATTGTGACCAACGTTCGTTAACCATCAGAATACCAAGGAAAGATTTTGAGTTTCTCATTCTAAGAAGAAAATATGTCAGATCAAATAATTTGTTTAAGTCAGTAAGTGTATTTTCTACCGACAAAACGTTGTGGATTATTCAACAAATACTGCCCTATACGTTCAATGTAACTCGGATATTATCTCGCAGAGTTG